AACAGAAAATAAAATATAAAAAATATAAATTATATTTAATACATAAAAATGAATAAATAAATTATAAACAAATAAATTATAAAAAAATAAGAAATGAATTATAAATTATTTAAACAAATAAATAAACAAACAAGCAAACACATACATACATACTGGGTTCATTAACTGTAGGGGGAAGTATGGAGAAAATGAATAGCTTTTTTTACTTCTGGCAAAAACATAAAAAACTGGGTTTCATTGCCAAATTCTCATTACTGTGATTTATGCAGTGCAATGCATGGAAATGGGAATCACTGTTGCACTCCATATGGATTTCAGATATTAATTAACATCTTAAAATAAAGAATATAAAAGAAAATAGGATACCTTCTTCTGTAAAACACAGGCTTTTCCTCTCCTGTACGTCGTACAGAACTGGAAATGGAAAGATGATGAGAGGGATGAGATGACATGAAAATATGAAACATTTAAACTACTATGACTTCAAAGATCTGTATAATAAGAGTCTATGAAAGGTAAAAGTGAAGCTAGCAAAGTATGGAATTACTTCTCAAAAAAAGAGTGAATGCAAATGAATAACAAAAGGAAGAGCGAGGTGAGAAAAAGCATGCAAAGGCATGAGGGTGTGAGCGATGTCATTCTCAGAGCATGTCATGTTTTAGTGTGTTGTGTTTAAGGTGCTAATGCATTAGCATTCAGTGTGTTCTGAGAGGGAGCGAATTCAGTGCATCAAAACCTGAAAACCCAAATACATTTTGGGCAGGCGTGTGTGTTAAGATGTAAATTTCCATCTCATTCCTTTACTATATTGCTGTTGCAGTTATAAATGGAATACAAACCCCTTATTTAAAAAGACTTGGTAACACTTTACTCATACACACACATATACATACACTCTACCATTCAAACGTTTAGGGTAAGGATTTTGTTAAAATAAATTAATACTTATATTCAGCAAGAACACATTAAATTGATCAGACATGACAAGATAAAAGCTATCTATTTCAAATAAATGCTGTTCTTTTGAATTTTCTATTTATCAAAAATATCCACAAAAAAAAAGTATCCATTTCCACAAAAATATTAAGCTATCCAACTATTTTCAAAATTGATATTACGGGAAAATAATTATTAAGCACCAAATTAGCATATTAGAATGATTTCTACATGATCATGTGACATTGAAGACTAAAAATTCAACATTTACATCATAGAAATAAATGACATTTTAAAACATTTTAAAATAGAAAACAATTATTTTAAACTAAAATAATATTTCACAATGTTACTGCTTTTTTCCCTGTATTTTTAAACAAATAAATGCAGCCTTGGTGAGCATAAAAGACTTAAAAAAAAAATATATATATAAATAAATAAAAAGATAAAAAGTCTCACTGACCCTAAACTTTTGAGTTGTAGTCTGTCTGCATATCCTTTGTTAGGACCATTTAGATGTCTTGCATTGCAACATTATTACAATTAAGCACACTACACTTTATATGTCTAATTTCACCACTGTAGAAAAAAAAAAGTATTTTATTTTTTTTTTAATTAAGAATGATCTTTTTTATTTATTATCATCATTATAAATTAAAACCAGTACAACAAATACTATTATGACGTTTAAATGGTATGGAATTTATTTTTTAAATAATCTTTTATTTTAATTGATGTACTGAGAATCAGTTTTCACAGAGCAGAAAAATATTAATGTTCCTAATAATAAGCTTCAGCGTCATCAACACCTCGTCACTTACCTGTGCTGGTTCATTTCTTCTTCCCCTCCCTGGTTCTTCCCAGCACCCCAGCTGTGTCTGCGTAATGGAGAGAGTGAGCGTACGGTGGACCGGAAGAGAGAGGCAGGCAGCGGCACCTCCGTTAGCCTGTCTTTGGCCTCCTCTTCTGCCTCTCCTCCGTGCCGCACCTCCTCAGAGCTCTCGGCTGAGGTGCTGGGATGGCCGACGCTAGCCGTGTCGTCTGTGGAGGAGCAGGAGACGGACACCTCGCTCGTGCTGTCGCCTCCACCTACAGCCTCCTGCCCCTGAGCAAGAAACACCAATCAGACACAAATTAACTGACAGCCTTTTGTTCAGACAGATGAAAAATTATTCAGCACAACAATACTACTGTGCTATAAAACCTGGCTATGTCTCGTCGATGATAAATGGAAAGTGTGCAAAAGAGAAAAAAAAAATGTTAAACTTAAAAAGCTCAAGCATTTGTTCTGCCAAAAAATGCTATTGAGAGTATTTAAAGTCCCCCTGTGGTCAAATATTTTATCCCTTAAAACTTATCTTTGATCATCAAAATGACATATTTAAATGTTTTTTCTTGTGAAAATAATTTTCTCATGCCTTAAAATCGCTTGAATGTAACTCTACACCCTTGCCTCATTTACTATACGTGGATCTATGAATATGCAAATTAGTCCCGCCTCCACTCAGTCACACACCAGCCAGCGCCTCCTGATCCACTGAACTGTAGTAAACGCAAAACAATGGCATACACGGATAATGACTGATAAACGTGAGCAATGCGTGTGAAGTGCAGACGCCGATGCGGGAGAGGTGGGTCTGACTCCGGGCTACTTTTACACTGTTGCTGCGGGTTATAATGCAAGTTAGTGGTTCTAAATTCACATTAAACCACGGCTTCATGGGTTTTTCGCTCTAATTTATTTTTGGTTTTGTGCTGGTATTGGTATATTTTGCATGCTAGTGATAGGAATCGATCCCTTGACGTGATTGGTTATTGGATTGTGAATTTGTGACGTAGCAAACCGAGGGCTGTTTCAAACCGCATTTCTGGGAGTGCCACTGGGAAACTACAGTTTTAAAGAGAAAATACTCAGCAATTGTGTTGATTAATGGATTGGCACATGGTTTGTCTAAAAGCATATTATGTTGATTCTATGGCCAGTGTTATTTTAATACTATTGATATACCATTATTAAGTTTTAATAATTTTGTTATGTGCATTTGTCATTTTTATTAATTTAGGGTTTCTATATATTTCTATTTAGATTTAATTTATTTTTTAATTCAGTTCATTTCAGATTTTGTCAACTTGTTTTATTTCAGTCAGTTTCCAAGGCATGGACATTTCTAATATTGTTAAAGTTTGTTTTAAGTTTTTCGTCTAATATTTTTGCTTTGTTTTTGATAAATGAAATAAAGATATTAATATTTTCGAATAGTTTTAGTTTTAGAATAAAAATAACAACATTGATCCTGACCTCATGGCATGAAACAATTTTGCAAAAAAAACAACAACAAGCATTGTGTGTGTGTGTATGTGTTTAATATTTCTATTTACCTTTCATTTATTTGAACTCAATTTTAGAAATTTTAGTACATACTATTTTAAAGTTTTTATTCAAGTTTCAATTCTTACATTTTTTTATGTAATATTTAGTAGGGGGTGTATTTCTATTTAGCTTTAATTTATTTTTAATTCAGTTTTAGTTTTAGTAATTTTAGTACTTAAACTTATTTCAGTTAGCTGCAAAGGCAACATTTCTCATTTTTATTAAATGTAGTTTTTGATCTAATAATTATATTTAATTTTTTAGCTTTAGGTAACAATAACAAAACCAATCCTGACCTCATGACCTGACCTATTTTTGATTAACTTTTGAATTATATATGAAATTTAATATTGAAGAAATTCTAAAGACTAAAGTTTGAAAAGTTGGGAAAAAAACTGTTCATAATTTCAAAATTGAACAGAGCAATAATATCATCGAATAATTAGCGTTTTTATTATTTTTAGAGCGTTTTTTATTTCCTCAAATTTATTCTATAACACTCGTTCACGTCTGAAGTATATCTAAACTGTAAGAGTTTGTTTACCTCCAACTTGTGTGCATCTCTCAGACTGCTGTCTGTCACTTTAAAGTGAAAAAGTATGTCACTGAATCATCAGCAGGGTGAAATGAGTCTGCTAGACCGACCAAGACTCACACTCACAGACTCCTTATTTTCATCCATCCAGGCATCATGTGACACACAAACCATATCCTATGATCTCACACACCTAAACTTAAAGCAGTCGTGAGCTTCCTTGGTGTGAGGCTTTGATGAGTCTATTGTGCCGAGCGCTGGTGGTGTGAGAGACGAGGTGAAGAGGATTTGAGCTTCTGACACACATCGAGGTTTTTGTCAGTGTTCTGGGGGGGATAAAAGCCCTCTATTCATGCGCCCCTGAAATAGCTTCTATTAAGCATGTGTGCGAGGAAGCAATAAAATATAAATTAAAATATAAAATGAAATAAAATAAAATAAAATAAAATAAAAATCTTACACTGAGGGAGACAATCAAGCCATATATAGGGACCAAAATATCAAAGACTTAAGCAGTAAGCCAGTGAATCTCAACCTTTTGGCGTACCGGACCCCAGTCCAATTCAGAACCATCCTCAAGGACCCCCAGAACAAA